CGTCTGCATGTGAAGTGGGTAGTTGGCGGGTGCTCTGGTGTGATTTGCTTCTTCTTTCCTATCAAACATCTATCGTCCTTATCTAGCCTCCTTCTTTTTTTCTGTTTGTTACTCTCTTGTAACACCTCTTATCTTCTGGCTAGGGAGTGAGTGAAGGAGGGATGGAGGAATGGGGGGAGAGAGAAAGTACCGTATGATTTTTTTTTTTTAAGTATAGTAATTATACATCACATCAGCATGGCACACATTTTATCTTCTCAAATGACCACGCACTCGAACTACAAGTTTCAATGAATTTCTTTCATTGAAGTTTTAAATGTTTAGTGGACTGTTGTTGTAGTTCAGTTCGGGTAGCGTCCATGGTCCTTCTGTCGGTAATCGGCGTTGCGGTAGTCCTCAGTACGGTAGTCTCCATTGCGATAATTGTCGTGACGGTTGTCAGCACTGCGGTAGTCGGCTTTGCGGTAATCATCAATGCGGTGGTCCTTTGTGCGATAGTCAGTATTTCGGAAGTCGGAAGAGCGGGGACCAGCGTTGCGGTAGGGATCATTACGGTAATCGGCGTTGTGGTAGTCGTCAGTGTGGTAGGCGGCATTGACTTGGCTCGTACCCTCTTTGCTCTTCCAACCGCAGATGTTCCAGACAGCGAAGAACAAGCACAGGAACTGGAATTTGAAAGGGATTTTTTTTTCGGGAGGCGGGGTTTGTTGTGTTTGGCAGTGGGTAGCCAGGGGAGTTGGAAAAGGGCTTATAGTTTGCAAGGAAAGAGATACTATTGTGTAACAATTTGGGGTGGGGGTGGGGGGAGTGTAAGTGGAGGAAATTTTGGTGGAAAAAAGGGTATGGGGGGCGACAGTGGAGCAGAATGAACTAGATTCTGAAAATTACAAATTCATAGAACAAAACCAAAGTATATGCTTCTTTTGCCTTTGATGCATTGTGTGATACTTTCCACTAACGATGTTTGATGTACCCTGTTGTCTATTCCACAAAAACAACGTCATGTGCATTTCATAATACAATTGGGTTTTTTTTTTCTATGATGTGAACATAATACCAATTCACAGTGCTTGGCTCAACGAAAGGGTGCGCAAAAGTCGAAAAGCTACCCGCCCCCCACCCCCTAATGAAAAAAAAAAGAAAAGAGGAGAAAAAAGACAAGGCGTACTCACGCCGTTTCAAAAAAGTTTACATTTGTTTCTCCTACACAGAGTCACATGTGCCTACTCGTTCTGAAATAGAGGTCAACAAATGATAAAAATACCAGACGCACCATTTTTGGACTAACATGATACAACGACACGAGGACTTGTATTCAACAACCTACTGTCCTCTTGAAATTTTTACTCCCAGATGCTGATATCAGTAATCAAAATCGAGCACACTTGCTATAATAATAATGATATTTATAATAATAATAACAACAATAATAATAATTATAATAATGATGATAATCATAATCATACTAATTATATTAATCCTAATAATTACATTACGTTACCAGAGACAAAAACGCATGTAGCGGGAAGTAAACATCTGCTAAAGGAAAAAGAACCCCACACGTTAACGGGTGTCTCTGATTGTATGTTGGGATGTTCCCCCCCCCCCCCTCTCTCTCTCTCCTCCAAAGCCCGAGTTGGCCCTGATAACGAATCTGGCGGTATCCAAGATTATAAATTGTGTCAATGGGAGAGGAAAATAAGTTAATCTTACCTCAAACAAAAAGATTAGAAAGACGACAGTGATAATCAGGCCGGTGTGTGACGTGATGTAGTCCCACATAGGTTGATAGCATCCCTAAAACAAAAATAAAAAACAGATCGCTAGATTATCACCAAGGAGTACAATAGGACCCGGTATATATAAATATATATATATATCTAGTTGATGCCACCAGGGTAAATAAGAAACGAGGAGGGAAGTTAAAAACTACACTTACATTTTTTACAACGCTTCCTTTCTTAAAGTATCAAGTCCAACTCTTTAAGACTTTTTAAAATTAATTTTTTTTTGGGGGGGGGGGTTTTTTGGGTGGGAGGTTTTCAGATATATCATTTCATGGGCGTAGACGTCGGGTTCAATGGTAAAAAAGAAAAAGACAATGACAGAAGGACGAAGCGGGTAAGACGGAGGTTAATAAATATTATAATGACACGTTGTCAATATTACGTGCATCCGAGTATGTACGCTTACAAAGGTTCTACCCCAACTGTTCAGCTGTTGGTTAATCGATAATCTCCAATCCTCTCTTAGTGGGTGTAATGTGTAGTGATCGTTGTTGTTGTTGTTGTTGTTGCTGCTGCTGCTGTTTTGAGATGAAGGTTTACATTGGGGGGATGGGAGACGACTGAATGCTGAGGTAAAGTTTCAAAG